GCAAATCATCACTAATCCTCCTAAGAGCTGCAACTGCAAGCTACAGTTTCGTGAGCAATACACATACTTCCCAATAGTCTGAAACGTATAATTATTTTGGTACTTTTTATTAGGAAACTATATTTACATACAACAAGATCGAAACTAATTGCATATTTACAATACAGGATTCATTAGACAATGTTCAGAGAGGAAGAACTCCCACTGCATTGCTCAGAAGGACAGAATTGAAGCCATTCATTATCTAAACCATTGCAGTTCCTGATGTCAACGCGTAGCCTAGTTCTAATTTTTTCACTAATATTGACATGGATGTCACTAATAGATTGTCTCAAACATTCCTTTTTCACTATCCTAACGAGTTCAAGTGTATATTCTAATAGTGTATGATCCTTTATACGGATACACTTAATATCCTGATAGTGTATTAAAGAATATACACTTGAATAGTGTACATACATTATGATCATCTGCGTGTCTCAAACATTACCTGGATGATCATACACTATTCCATATAATAGAGATCCTTCTTCTTGGTGTTCATCTTGAAAAGTTCAGTCATTATATAAAATTTTAACTTATTTATTCAATTTTTGTTTATTATAGTTTTATTTTTCAACAATACATGAAAATAACATATAAAATATGTGAATAATATGTGTATTATTGCAAAATATCAGCAAAAATTACATATGTGCGTGAATAATACCTCTGCGTTAAAAAACACTTATTATTATATAAAAATATGTACGTACGTGTATAATAAACGAATTACTGTAACCTAGAAATTGTTTTGGACTCTTCTCAGAAGGGTAGGTGTGGATTAATTGGCTTTAAAGGTGTCGGTGAGGAGGATGTTGAAAATTTACGTTTTTGTGAAAACTAGAAGAGGCCAAAAATGATGGGGTTTTAGGTACCTTTCTTGTAGTGTATGGGCGAATTTAAGCAATTTGGTGGGCCGTCACCATAGATTGGATTGGAGCCTTGGACATTAATAAGATTCAACGTAGATCGAACACTTGGCGTGGCTAGAAAAATTTGCCATCATAGCTATCAAACGTGTTACAATTATTTATCGTCATTTTCCATGTTCCTCACATGCCTTATAACTTTTTTGTGCAGCTGCTGGTGTAGTTTCCTTCACTCATTTTTCTCACCAATATCATATGATTATTTAACTCCCTATAAAAGGCCACCTTCTTCTACTTTCCCTTCAACCCAAATCATTCTCACAGACTCAAACTGTTTCTAGGAACAAAACCCAAATCAAGAATCTGCAACAGAAGCCCTTTTTGTTTGTTTGAGAGCAACTTCTCTTGTTCATCTTCAAGCTTGGAAGCAGCTGATCAGAGCAGGAAAGAAGAAAGAAGGGTTTTTGTTTTGTTTGATTTCAATGGCAAAGGAGATGGGATTGTTGGGTTGTTGGGTTGAGGTTGCTCCTGCCCTTCTGATATCTCCCAACAAGACTTCAACTTGTCCTGAATTGGAGACAATAGCTGAAGAGTGGGAGCTGGAGGCAGAGGAGTATGATCAAGAGGCCAAACAGATTGAAATTTTACTGAATTCTTCTGTGCTGATTATGTAGTTTTATTTATCCATTCTTGGGGTTTTTGTGTGAATTTGTATCGAAACAAATGAACAGAATTTTGTAGTTCAATGACTTCACTCTGATGGAAATATATGCTACCTCTGGAAATTGGAAGGAATTAAACTAAATAATTTATTTCTCTTGTTGATGCAATTTTATGACTTCAATCTCAAGATGTTGCTTTCTGCAATTCTGCTAAAATAAGAGACGTGTAAAAGATGGTAGAA